AAAAAAAAAAAAAAAAAAAAAAAAAAAAAAAAAAAAAAAAAAAAAAAAAAAAAAAAAAAAAAAAAACTCTATAAATACTCACGGTTTGAATGTACCAAGTTAAAATTAGGGCGCCAGAGCTAGAATGATTTTACGTTGAATCTAGGTTAGAATGTTGCTAGTTGACCAAGTACCCTAAGATCGCGAGAAGTGATTGGTGGTCAAAACCATATTTCTCTCAAAAATTATATTATCCCCAAAGATAGTCTTGAGATTTAAACCACTTAGATGCCTTAAGAGCCTAGTAAACCCTGCGACACTCAATGACATTTAAGTAAGCTTACAAGGCTGCTGGTAGTAGAATAGTATCACTTGAGACTGAATACTCCTATTCCCTTCAATATCTTAATAGCACTATTCGGCTAGGTTAAATCCAAGAATCTATATGGTTGAGTTTAACCAATGTCAAATAGGCTTTGACTTTATTTATAGAGAAGAAGAGTTGGAATCGACTTTGATTTAGTTTAAAATTAAACAAAACTGAATATTAAGCGAACTTGCATCGAAGAAATATGGAGAAAATTTTAATAGGTCTTTAATTTATTTGCTCTAACTTCACCAATGTTGAAACTCCTCCCATCAAGTGTTCGTTGCTATGACTTGAACACATGGTCAAGATCTCGATGAGTTCTTTAAAATCCTAACCTTAGCCAACTTTAATCTTTCCTAAATCTTCGTGAAAGCAATCAAAGCATTTGGATTGACTCATGGCACCATCCAATAGGTAGTAAGCCTGAATGGGCTCAACACGTCACTAAAAACCAACCTGAAGGTAGAGTTGTACAAAGTTGAGTTTTTTGAGTTATTTTTGTAATTTTATTTAACTTTCCAGGCTATTATTGTAGTCTGGCTTTATGGCTACTTTTCAAATTCCTGATTATCAACGCCATTTTTTCAAAATTTATTTTTCTGGATCTTTTTCAGTAAAATTATTTTTTAAAAAATCTTTTACCCGCATTTGTGACCCATATATTGTTGCAACTAAAGAAAAAAAAAAAAGAAAAGAAAAAGAACTGCAATCCAGTTTAGAACAAAAATGTGTGAAAAATGAATCTTTAAGAAGAAAAAAACATAGAAATTTAGAGATAAGAGAAGAAACCGGTCCAATGCGAACACTACCCGACTGAGACGTTTCAATAGGGGCAGAGGCAGATTGTCTAACTCTAATACCATTCAAAGCGTTCGACGTTTGTGTTACCCGTTCCAACTTTCTCTGGATTTCTTTATTGTGCTGCGCCATCGTTCACCATGGTACGTCGTTTGAAATCCAGCCCCGAACTTCTTTTCTAAGTTTTGTTTTTGAATCAATTTTCAATCTGTTGTTCGATCTTTGCCCTAATCTTGCATTTGATTCGATCTTTGGGACCATGAGGCCATGTATGGATATTTTAGTCTTCGTAATATGTTCCATTCTCTGCTAGATTAGGTCAATTGTATGAGTTTTTGGTGCTTGGAACTTGGGTAGAAGCCTTTGATTTTATGTACGAAATAAGGAGATACAATAAATAGTTAGAAATTGGACTGCCGCTTTTGCCAACTTCTTTGTGTTCAGGTGAAATTTGAGCTTTCATTATTATGGCTTATTCTCCTTTCGGTTGGAAATTGCAATCGTCTTTGTAGGCAAGCTTATACAGAGGTGCTTCTAGGAAGGAAAAACCTAAAGGACGTCATGGGTTAACTCCCCAGAAGAAGCAGGAGATCAAGGAAGCTTTTGAATTATTTGACACTGATGGCTCTGGTGCGCAAATTATTGCTTGGTTTTTGCTTGTTATTGGTTTTTTATGTGTGTATGGATCGAATACTCAGTTCTTAGTCTGTGTTACTTTTGGTTAGGGACTATCGATGCCAAAGAGCTTAATGTCGCAATGAGGTATGAATATCTCACAATGGAACGTGTAAACGTCAGCTTGGAGATTGTAAATTTAATTTCTGAAACCCTTTTATTTTTGTGGCAGGGCTCTTGGTTTTGAGATGACCGAAGAGGTATATGGCCCTAGGCCGATTAGAGTTCCAAAGTTTTTTGGCACTTGTGCATTTACCATTTCGATGGACAAATATGTGACATTCTAGCATGCATGAATACTATTTGATGAATTTGTCAGAAATCATCAGTTTATTCATCTTGTGGCCTCCACGTTGTTTCTTACCATTGTAGTCTAATCTTTTTTATCGTTTCAATGTGATGTGATCAACGTATCTAATTCCTTTTCCCCCATTATTGCGAATGCAAATAGTAAGGTCGTTAGGGCGGTGCTATCTCCTTCAGAATGGATTTCCTGTTTATTGTGGAGCAAGAGCCTCGACTTTCTTATTTTCTACTACTGCATCTTCAAAAGGCAGATTTTTATTTTGTGGAGAAGGATATTATTAGAAACAAATTTTTTGTTGGACTTAGGGATTGGGGGAGTTTTACGTTCCTTTCATGCTTTTTTAGAGTTCTGTTTCTTTTTAGTGTAGGTATCCCTCACATAATACCTTTAGTTGGAAGATTCGATTATTCAAATTGACAATCGAATGCAATAACTTGTTTGAAGATCAATAATCTAATTACTTTTGATCTGACTTCAATTTTTGT